GCTAATTTTTTGTTGCCCAGGCCCAGAATGGACTTCCGGAAGTGGCATCCACACAGAGAACCAGTTGCTCACATATTTGGGCAGACCCTCAAATATTGGAACACTGCTATCATGTCACCCCAACCCAATAGCATATAATTGAATGAATGAAATAAAAATGTTGAAATAAATCCATGATGCTTAAAATCCTTAAAACATGGGAACCTGATTATTATGTAGTGGTTTAGGGAGATGATCTGGAAACAAAGAGAATGGGGTTTAATTCCCAATTAGATATGAAGCTCGTTGAGCAATTATCCACTCATAAGGATATAGATTCATATTATGACAGGACCGAGATAACAAATAACACCTTGTTGGCTTAGCTGAAACAATCAGTCCCATTGATGGCTACAGATGGGTGTGGATAGTCACTGAATAAATAAAGTGGGGAACACATATTATTATCATGGGAATATAATACTTGCAGAAACAAATGAAATAGCAGCCCCAGGTTCACTTATAAAGATGGCATTATGACAAAAATATACTTATTTTTTTCCCATTGGCTCTGTTGTTGCAGAAGGCATCATATTTAGACTGAGAAAGGCATTAATCCTCATACCCAATCACCAGGGATTGTAACTGCTGTTATCAGTCTAAATAAGCCAAGCCTTAAATTGCAAAGAGGTATGCATGACAGTAATATATTGGAATTTTTCTTTTAAATTACACCTGTCATGGGCAGTGGAAATGCAGACCCAATCTGAAAGTTATTTACTTGAAAATGTGTAAGTGACAGATGGCAAATTAAATTTCCACATTCCCAACTCTTCTTGCCAAATATTTATTAACACAGGCAATTGTTTAATTGATTCAGGAAGGTTTATTTGCTAACAATGTGAATATTGTGACCAATTGCTACCCTCCCCCAAATGCTGTTTTTCACAGCAAATGGGCGATAGGAGGAATTGCTATTTCAAAGGAGTTTTAATGTGAGAAAAAAAAATAGATATGTTTTGCAAGGGTTGTTGCTTTTAGTTGCGATTAGGTCAAAGAGTAATCTCTGCAAATGAACAATGGAGTTTAACTGGAAATCACAACACAAATTCATTTGGTGTGTTAGCCTCGCATTTCGCGGGGGGGGGATATAAATGCTAATGAAAAATCCCCATCGAGGGCCGTTTAATAGCCATCCAATTTCTTGCTCAGAATAGCTCCCTTTATTTTTTTTTCCTACACATCCATAATTATTGGCTTCAGGAAACATAGTCATGCAATCAATATGGAGAAACTCCAAATATCCAACACAGTGTACAGACCTGAAAGGTCCAAAGGGAAAGTCTATCAACTGGATATGAGAAAAGGTTTTGAAGATCCAGATAGTTGTTGATACGGGTGTGAATTTTTTAGGAATGGCCTAATTAATTCTTATTAACAAGCTCAGACTTTTAGCGCAGGATGGAAATTTAATTGGAGCAGTGGGTCCTTTAGGCATGCTGGATGCACAGATGCTACTTTGTGTCTGTCAAGGAGAGAGAGACTGGCTGAACCAGGGTTAGGAGCCAATCAGAATAGAGATGGAAGGGACCTTGGAGGTTTTCTAGTCCAACCCTCTACTCAAGCAGGAGACTCTATACCATTTCAGACAAGTGACTATCCAGTCTCTTATTAAAAACCTCCAGCGATGAAACACCTACAACAGGGGTCTTCAAACTTGGCCCTTTTATGACTTGTGGACTTCAAGTCCCAGAATTCCTCAGCCAGCATGCCTGGCTGAGGAATTCTGGGAGTTGAAGTCCAGAAGTCATAAAAGGGCCAGGTTTGAAGACTCCTGACCTACCACCTTTGAAGGCAAGCTATTCCACTGATTAATTGTCCTCACTGTTAGGAAGTTTCTCCCTAATTCAAGGTTGCTTCTCTCCTTGATTAGTTTTCATTCATTGTTTTTTGTCTTGCCTTCGGGTGCTTTGGAAAATAAGTTGACCCCCTCTTCTTTGTGGAAGCCCTCAAATACTGGAATACTGCTATCATGTCCCCCATGGTCCTTCTTTTCTCTAAACTGACCATAACCAATTTCTGCAATCATTCTTCGTATATTTTCATCTTCAGGCCTTTAATCATCTTAGTTGCTCTTCTTTGCACTTTTTTTTTTCCAAAGTCTCAACCTCTTATTTGTAATGTGGTGACCAAAACTGGATGCAGTATTCCAGGTGAGGTCCTACTAAGGATTTATAAAGAGGAACTAATGCTTCATGTGATTTTGATTCTATGCCTCTGTTTATACAGCCAGGGATTGTATTCGCTTTTTTGGCTGCTGCCGCACACTGCTGGCTCATGTTTAAGTGATCGTCCACTAGGACTCCAAGGTCCCTCTCACAGTTACTGTTTTTGAGCTAGGTTTCGCCTAATCTGTACTTGTAGTTTTGGTTTTTCTTAGCCAGGTGTAAAACCTTGCTTTTCTCCACACTGAAACTCATTTTGTTGGATAGGGCCCATTGTTCAATATCTTTTTGGATCCTGAGCTTGTCTTCTGGGGTGTTGGCTATTCCTGCCAGCTTCGTGTCATCTGCAAATTTGATGAGTTCCCCTTCTATTCCCTCATCTAAGTCATTTTTGAAGATATTGAAGAGTACTGGGTCAAACAGGGAATTAGTCTGGAATGCTTATGTGGGCACAAAAGGGCAAGGCCTAACATTATTTGAACGCCGTTAAACCTTATCTAGTTTAGTCCAGGTGCAAAATGCCCAGTCTGGAAAATTCCTGTGTAACAAGCATGAGCAATAAAACAGCTAACTGAACTCTTCACATGTGGATCTGGTTGTTGGCACCCAACAGTAGCTCCCTTATTCTAAATTTCGTTTCATCTATTCTTTCTAAAAAAAAAATTCTCACTGAAAAAGAAAGTCTGAAAAACATCGTAAGAAATTTCTTTGACCACGAAGCCATCTTCTAAAATACTTTTAGCGTTCCTGTCAATTCTATGCCATCTGGAATTTAGGGAGGGTAACCTTTCGTTGCTGAAAGCATGGCGTTCCTTTCCAATGTCACTTTGATCGGTTCATTGTTATGCTTTGCATTAGTGTCTGCAGCGCACCTGGCCTCGCTGAACTGCCAGCTCGCTTTTCAAATGCTTCAAAAGCTTTCTGACCCCTCTGCCATTTGCCCCGCCAATGCAAAAAATAGTAAATTCACAACTGTGTTATGACTGATAAAGAAGAATATTCTACTGTATGCAGGTAGTCTTCGAGCCCAACATTTATATTGCTAAATGAAACATTTGTTAAGTGATTTTACAACCCTTTTTTCACTGTTGTTAATTGAATAACTGCAATTGTTAAGTTAGTATCATGGTTGTAAAGTGAACCTGGCTTCCCTGTTGACTTTGCTGGTCAGAAGTTCACCAAAAGGGGATGATCACGTGACCTTGTGACTTTGCAACAGTCATAAATATGTACCAGATATGAAGTATCTGAATTTTGATCACGTGATCGTGAAAGTGCTGCTACAGTTGTTTAAGTGTAAATAACAATCATAAGTCACTTGTTTTTCCAGTATTGTTGTAACTTTGAACCGTCACTAAATGGCTGTAAGTTGAGGACTACCTGTATTGTATATAGCAGAGGTCCCCAACCTTTTGGACACCAGGGACCAGGTCCGTGGAGAAAGGTTTTTCCGAGGATCGGAGAGTGTGTGGTTTTGTGTGCTGCCTGCATCCCACGGATGGGGCTTTGTTTGTGCAGACCGGTTGCTGGCATGCTGTGACCCGGTACCAGTCCATGGACCAGGAGTTGGGGACCCCTGGTATACACAATATACAACACAATAATATTGTATGTTATGTTATATTGTATTCTGACTAATATCCAAGCAACAGGAGATGTTGAAAAGGGTTTATTGGCTTGGTGGATTTTCAAGGGAGGGAAAAATCAAAGGTTTATAGATCATATTATATATATATATATATATATATATATATATATATATATACACACACACACATACATACACACACACACAAACCATATATATATATACATATATACATGTATATCTCCTCCCCCTGTCTCTCTCCTGACAGCTAACAAAGTGAGAGAGAGCCTGTGGCTTAGAGGTTATAACAACTGCCTAACGTGCAGATAGCCCAGGTTTGAATCACAGAAGAGTAAGTCTGGCTGAAGAGAGTTAAAGGAACTCGAAATAGCTATACCAGCTCTCTCTTTATTCTTTGTTAGCAACCTAAAAATGTAAAATGATGTTGCAGTTGGCGACTGCTGCTTGTGATGGCTCTAGATTGAGCTGATACAGGCAAAAGAAAAGAAAAAGAAAAAAGATTTCTTTCTCCCATATTTGGGCTGACAGGGTGCACATTCAAGGTAAAATCTGCTCCCCCTGTCTCTCTCCTGATAGCTAACAGAGTGGGAGAGAGCCTGTGGCTTAGAGGTTATAACAACTGCCTAACATGCAGATAGCCCAGGTTCGAATCTCAGAAGAGTAAGTCTGGCTGAAGAGAGTTAAAGGAACTCGAAATAGCTATACCAGTTCTCTCTTTATTCTTTGTTAGCAACCTAAAAATATATATGTATATGTGTGTGTGTGTGTCTATGTGTGTGTGTGTGTGTGTGTGTGTGTGTGTGTGTGTGTATGCACATACACTCCCCTTCCCCAGATAAGGGAGATGTACATGATGAAATTGTGGCTGTATGCATGTGACCAATAATCTTCCAGGCATGCTCCCATCAGCCAAATAATGCACACTCATTTGGGAAGCATTTGGTGCCACAGATATTACAACTCTTCTCTTGCTTTCTATTTCCTGTCTGTACAATTATTTCGGCTGAAGATCATAAAACTGTGAAACATCTTTTTACATATTAACAAGACAGCTCTTAAGATCCACTGAGTAGATTTTGCAATGATAGCAACTTACAGCAGAATTTTCAGGTCGCCAGGAACACAGCTTCTCTTTTAAGATCACTAACGAACAGGTTTTCAATTTTAATTCCAAGAGAACGGCACTATCGATTCACATATTTGGAGGTTTTTATTTAGAATGCATCATTCATCCCTTTTGCAGAATTAATTTAATCCAGCAATACTCGAGGTACAGGAAAATAAGTTTTAGCTTCCGAGGGAAGCTAGTTATTTCTGAAGGACATATCTAGATATTTATAAGCCTGTAATATTAGTTTTATTTCATATCTGCTGCAGAAGAGTGACTCATCAGGGTTTTTTAAAAAAACCAAATTATAGTTATAAAACGAGTCTGCTCCCAATGAGATCCCTTTCCTCTTCCTCCTCTAGCTCTAAGGTGGATAGTAATACATCACTTAAAGCTTTGCAGGATGGAAATAGCATAACCTGATGCAAAAATACATAGAGATAGACTTCAGTTGTAGCAAAAAATAGATTTTGGTGACCAGAAAGTCTCTCTTATGTACATTAAGGATTTAAAGCAGCTGGAAGTAACTCTTGAGTAGTGAGAGTTGCATTGAATATTGTGGGGAGGGAGGGTGGACACAAGGAGATAACGACCTCTTTGGAAGTCAAGGATGGTTTAGCTTTTAGCCACAATGTTTACTTTTTTGTTTTGTATTGCACCTAGTAATATCGTGTTGTTGTTGTTTTTTTTACTTATTCAGAGTTGCTATGCGTTATGTGTGTTGGGAGTTGTGCATTATTTTTCCTGTCTTACTGTGGAGGTTTTACTCTATTTTTCTTTTTACTAGATATGTTTTATTTATGCTTGTAACCCACCGGGAATTTCAATGATTCAGTGGCCTAGGCATCCAATAAATAATGGGGAGGTATTAAGAATTTATTTCAATTCTTGGGTTTTTTTTTCTTAAAAAAAAAAAAACCCATATTAAGTCTAGTCAAGGACTTAGCCAACTGTGGCAGTCTATCTTTCCAGCAAAACTCCAGGGAAAACAACTGGGTCACCGAGAGTTAATAAGTATGCTTGTACACAGGGTCTGGGGTCTGCCACCCCTTCCCCAAATGAGATTGCCTATTTATATTTTAAAATTCCATTTATTTGGTAGACGTTTCTTCAAAACCTTAGACGTAATAGGCCACAAGAGTTAAAGTCTAAGCTGTTTTGTATGTCAGATGATAGAATTTCCGCTCACAATCACAAACGGGTGCTTCGATAATGTAAAAATTCAAGGATAAAAGAAGTCAGGTTATTCCGGTGTTTTCCCTTCTCTCTTTCTCCCTCAGAATAAAAAAATAATCAATCCCTGGTTTTAACCATGACCTGTTGGCATTGTTCCTCAGATGTTGAAGGGCAAACTCTTCATATGGCTGGGTGTCAAGCATAACGTATCTTCTCTCTTCTCCCCTAAGCAAATTGAGAAGCAACATTCCCCCTTGGATCAGGGGTGTTCAACCTTGGCAACTTTTAAGACCTGTGGACTTCAACTCCCAGAATTCCTGAGCCAGCCATGCTGAGGGGAAAGGGAGAGGTTTCCAAGCTGAGCCATGCTGGCTCAGGAATTCTGGGAGCTGAAGTCCACGAGTCTTAAAGTTGCAGTGTTGGACATCCCTGCCTTAGACAGTCCTGCTAGAATTACTAGCCTGGTGGAAACACTCTTGCTCAAAATCATATCCCCTTTTCTTTATGGAGAGCAGAATGGGAACCCACTTCTTAGAACTATGGACAAGATACCTAACGCAATTTTGCTTGAGCCTCTTAGCATCCCTTTACTCCTCTCTCCGAGAAGGCCTAGTAAAGATTAGGCTTTCTCTAGACCAGCCCTGGTGGACTCTTGTCAGGATGTCGCCATAAACTCCCCTAAGATGCCCTCAGGACGGCCAATGTATTTCATGGCAAATTGGTTTAGTTTTATAAAGACAGATTAACCATAATGGATGTGAGCTCTGGCTACTGAGCTGGGTTGTTCGTGACAAAAAATGTTCAAACATTTGTCAGACAAAGGAAAACAGGACCCCAAACTCCGCTTTATCACTCTGTATTTCACAGCTTCCTTGATGTTAAATTGCTTCTCTATGGCTCCAAATGGCATTCATTATGTATTATGAGGAACATAACCCAACAGTATGAAACATCGATCAGAAATATAGTGGCCAAGTTCAGGGAAAAAAAAAACCCCAGCCCATATTTTTTATACTTCTGAAAACACTGTTGTAATCTTGCAAAGGGGAGCAGGGAGGAAAGGCAAAATGAAACCTCAGGGACGGTCACAATGTCCTCAGCCTTTCCAAATTACCTTCAATTTATGTGTCCCCCCCCCAGTACGTGGTAATAATAAAACACTTCCTATCTAAGAGGAACCAGACATCTGAGAAAAGTACAGGGGCAGCTTTGCATCCTTGAGCAACGGGAAGGAGCTGAAATTAAAAGATGAATGATCTAAAAGAGAAACCAGTTCCTTCAGATAAAACATTCTTGAGTCTTTGAAAACTCAATCCCGTTCTGGTTTTTTTTTTTTTCAAACTCACAAAGCAAAGCTCCTTTAAAAGGGAGAATTCTTTCTAGTAGCAAGTTGGGAGCCGATGACGGGAAGAAATACAGTAAGCTATATGCTTAGAAGCAGCTTCACTGCCTGGGCCTTCTGTTTTGCCCGATTGTCCTTTTTGGCCTTCTCAAGAAGCTTTTCAAACTGTGATTAAAAGAGTCTTTTAAACTCTACCATTTTTTTTTTCTTAAAGTGCATACAACACACCCGGATAGTTTTATCCAGCCCCGTGGCACTTTGCCAGCGATTGCTTCTTCTGGTTTCTTGGCTGCCGTCTCCTCACACAGATGTTGTTCAGGAGGTTTATTTCATCCCTGAAGAATGTGTATCAGCATCGGTGTAATAAGAGGTTGGGATCTCTTGAGTTCCTTGGGAGAAAGAGAAAAGGGGATTTGTGAAAAAAGGCATATATTTTTAAAAAAGAAAAAAAGAAAGAAGAAGAGATGGATTATGACTCAGGATGTGTCAAAACGTCTTCAGCAAAAAGCCATTAGAGCAGGGGTTCTCAACCTTGGCAAGATTTAAGACAGGGGTCTTCAAACTCGGCCCTTTTATGACTTGTGGACTTCAACTCCCAGAATTCCTCAGCCAGCCTCCATTTTGTTTGTTAGATTTAAGACAGGGTCTTCAAACTCGGCCCTTTTATGACTTGTGGACTTCAACTCCCAGAATTCCTCAGCCAGCCTCCATTTTGTTTGTTAGATTTAAGACAGGGGTCTTCAAACTCGGCCCTTTTATGACTTGTGGACTTCAACTCCCAGAATTCCTCAGCCAGCCTCCATTTTGTTTGTTAGATTTAAGACAGGGGTCTTCAAACTCGGCCCTTTTATGACTTGTGGACTTCAACTCCCAGAATTCCTCAGCCAGCCTCCATTTTGTTTGTTAGATTTAAGACAGGGGTCTTCAAACTCGGCCCTTTATGACTCGTGGACTTCAACTCCCAGAATTCCTCAGCCAGCCTCCATTTTGTTTGTTAGATTTAAGACAGGGGTCTTCAAACTCGGCCCTTTTATGACTTGTGGACTTCAACTCCCAGAATTCCTCAGCCAGCCTCCATTTTGTTTGCTAGATTTAAGACAGGGGTGCTAAAAACAGGATCACCAACATGATCGCCAACGTCCGATAACGGATATGGCACAAGAAGAAGAAGAAGATTCTGTTACTGTGACCTTACAATGAAGGTAGTGTTAAGGTTTGGTTTCCTGTCTGGACCACCTCAAAGGGATGACAGGACCACAATATCTGGAGCTGATGGAATTTGTGCTCCAGCAAACACTAGTTTCCCTGATGCTGCAAGAAATCACACGTCTTCCCACTGGGAATCATTTTTAATGCTCACAGAAATGGGTTGCTGATCAACCCAAGAGTTGGTTTAGTGCAGGGGTCTTCAAACTTGTCCCTTTTATGACTTGTGGACTTCAACTCCCAGAATTCTTCAGCCAGGCATGCTGGCTGAGGAATTCTGGGAGTTGAAGTCCACAAGTCTTAAAGTTGCCAAGGTTGAGAAACCCTGCATTAGAGGAAGTCCTCGACTTGTAACCGTTTGTTTAGTGACTGTTGGAAGCTACAGTGGCACTGAAAAGAGTGACTTACAGCCAGTCCTCACACTTACGACCGTTGCAGCATTTCCACGGACACATGATCAAAATTCAGGGGCTTGCATCCAGAAATGGTTGCCGTGTCCTGGGGTCATTTGATCCCCATGTGCAACATTCCCCGTTGGTTTCCAACAAGCAAAGTCAATGGGAGAAGCTGGATTTGCTTAATGGCCATGTGGCTCACTTCCAACTGCAGGGATTCGCTTAACAACTACAGCAAACGGGTCATATAATCGGGCATGGCTCACTTGACAATCACCACGCTTAGCAATGGAAACTCTAGTCTTCATCGTGGTCGTTAAGTCGAGGACTACCTGGAGTCCAATCAACGGCCACCCTCACATCTACCAGATCAATAGCTACAGGAAACACTTTTTAGGCTTGCTGTCAAATATACATTGGGAAATAATTTAGCAGTGTCAGGAGATGTCTAAAGGTTGAATCATGGCAACTGGATCAAAGTTTGTAAATCTCAGACGTTTCGTTGCCCATCCAAGCAACTTCATCAGTCAGAGCAAAATTAGCTAGGCAGAGAATAGCCATAGCCCTTACACTTATATACCGCTTCATAGTTACAGCTTCACAGCTCCTCTCTAAGCAGGTTTACAGAGTCAGCATATTGTCCCCCAACAATCTGGGTCCTCATTTTACCAACCTCAGAAAGATGGAAGACTGAGGCATCCTTGAGCCGCTCAGGATCGAACTGCTGGCAGTTGGCAGAATTAGCCTGCGATACTGCAGTCTAACCACTGCACCACCACAGCTCATCCTATGGGTTTTGACAGGTTTTCCTTGCTTTGCCTTGGTGACCTGTGGCCCGAAGCGCCTAACATTCCCTTCCTCAATCTGATTTACCTATTCTAGCAATATAAACGGAGTAGCAAAATGAACCCCAAATGTACATACTATTAATTTTGGACTCAGTTTTCTGAAGATGATTAGGTTATGTGAATGGTCTTCATGCTGCAATATCACTTAGACCAGTGGTTCTCAACCTGTGGGTCGGGACCCCATTTGGGGTCAAACGACCATTTCACGGGGGTCGCCAAACAACGCAGTCCACCATTTTTCCCCCTTTTCCTTAGCTGTGCTACTCCCTTTTTATTCTGTTGGCTTTTGAAAGCCAATAGAATAGACTCTCTTGAATAGAGTCTAATTCTATTGGCTTTCAAAAGCCAATAGGAATCGTCCAGGCTGTCTCTGCCCTGCTGAGCCCGCCAAAAGTTCCATTCTGCAAACGGTGCTGCACCAGTTGAGTAGTCCTCGACTTACGACAGGTTGAGTAGTCCTCGACTTACGACTGGTTGGGGATCGCAGCATTAAAAAGGTTGAGAACCACTGACTTAGACTTTTATACCGCTCCACAGTGCTTTACAGTCCTCTCTAAGCAGGTTTACAGAGTCAGCCTTTTGCCCCCAACAATCTGGGTCCTCATTTTACCGACCTCGGAAGGATGGAAGGCTGAGTTAACCTGAATCAGAGAGTTGTTGGAATGTACCAACTGTTGCCACACCAACATCAGGGGTTTCTCCCCAAAATAGCTTGCAATATGTCAATGAAGACTCAACATCCAGTGCCGGGAGGCTTACCTGCCTACTTACCTGATTTAGATGTCCTGTCCAGATTGCTCCTGCTCTTCCATCGGCTGCATGGCTTCTTGCACATAAACAATCAGTTCTGAGGCTTCTCCGCCCTGAGTATAAACGGTCACTGTCCCAATGCCTTCCACATCATCTGAGGAGACCACCAAATGATGCTGCTCGGCCAACTCCATCGAAGCTGGTTGCAAAGTTTCCTGAATCATCACGGTGTGATTAGCTGTCTCTTCCTCTTCGGTTACCTGTCAGAACAACGGGAAAGTTACAAAACGCTTGCACAAGGGAGTGATAATGAAGAGGAGCAAAACTGGTAAGACCAAAGGCCTAGATCCCATCACATGTCAATTACTGGCTCCAGACTTCAGTAGTGTAAACTTCAGGGAAACGACAGACCAGAATTGACTATGGTGGGTTGTTAAGTCAAGCATGTACTGGAATTGCCACGTATGGGCAATCCATCACAAGAAGATGTTTGCTGGATTTCTGTTCTGTCCCAGCCTACGTGAGTCCTTGTTATGCTCACAAGGAGAAACCCCTCTTCCAAGAAACAGGCAGGAACCGTAAGAAAAAACCAACCCCTTTCATTCTCACAGACCTGAGTCAATATCCAAGGCAAACAAACACAGTCCACAGAAACTCGATCTTCAACACGAACGGTTGCCTTTGGCAACCAGCACCTCCCATGCCTTCCCTTTTATAATTCAGCCAAGGCGTGGCTTACTAATGCCTTCTCCTTTGCCTTTGGAGCCGCCCCATTGCATTCCTCTGTCCTTTTTGCTTCTCTTGCCTGCGCTTTCGTGCATCCGGGATTTGTCCCAGCTGTTCTTCATCACTGTCCAACTCAGGGTCCCAGCACAGCTGTGTCTCAGCCTGAGCGCAAGTAGAGGGGCCAGGCTCCTCATCCGACTGTAAGTCTTGAAGCTCCTCAGAGCCTTCTTCTGACTCTGATGTCACTCCAGGCCCCTCCTCCTCCTCTGAGTCCTCAGACTCAGCTGCCGGATCCACTGGCTGGCTAGGAATCACAACAGTTTTCAGCTGGTCATCGTTACATGGCAACTGAGCTGAGATGGCTTAGTGTGTTCTAGATGGTTTCTCTTTATGGTAGAAAATGAACCAGGAAAAACCAACAACAAATATATTCTGAAAGTTCTACAACTGGCTATTGAAGCAGAGAGCTCTGCAGATTTCATACAATAATAGAAGAGTTCTATTTTTGTATACATTTCTCTCTCTGGACCAGAAGCCACTGGTTTAAGCCATTGTAGTCCTTGACTTCCAGCCATTCGTTTAGTGACCATTCAAAGTTACAACAGTGCTGAAAAAAGTGATGTGACCAGTTTTCACACTTTACGACCACTGCAGCCTCCCGATGGTTATGTGATCAAAATTCGGGCGCATCCTTCCCCAGCTGGCTTCCAACAAGCAAAAGCAATAGGGGAAGCCAGCTTTGCTTGATGACCGTATGTTTTGCTTAACAACTGCAGGGATTCACTTCACAACTGTTGCAAAAAAGGTCGTAAAATGGGGCAAAACTCACTTAACAACTGGCTGGCTTAGCAACAAAAAATATGTCGAGGACTACCTGTATTCCATAGCAAGCACTAAGAAATGTATCAATGTCGACCAGCATTTAGGCTAGACTGTATGTAAGCATCTTGTGCTTTTCTACAAGAAATTATTTATTTATTCGTTAAATTTATGTGCTGCCCATCTCACTAAAGGTGACTCTAGATGGCTTACAATCAATCGGTTAAAAATGCCAATGTAAAACAGTTTGGTTTGGGACAAGGGCAGAAAAAGTGGGTGTGGAGCTCACTTCTGGGAACATGATATTCCAGAGGGTAGGAATCACGGCACAAAAGACTCTTCTCCTGGATCTCACCTGCCAGAATCCCTTGACCTACGGGATCCACAGCAGGTCCCTTCTGCCATGCCAGGATGGGCTAATCCCATTGGGTGAGGTAGTCTGAATCTATGCCATGAAGTGATAACCCACACCTTGAATTGGACTTGGAACCAAACTGCCAAACAGTGCAGGTTGGGGAACAGGCGTAACATGGGCCATCCTACGGGCCTCAGAATATGTCAGTGAGGCTGCATTCTGTGTCAGCTATAGCTTCCGAATACTCTTCAAAGATAGCCCCATGTAGAGCACATTGCAATAGTCCAAGCATGAGATCACCAGGGCTTGAGAGATTGAACCCAGGGATGCTCCAGAAAAGGGAACAACTAGTACACAAGATATTGAACAACAACAACAACAATAACAATGACAAAGTAGCAACAATGGTGCATTGGAAGATCTGCAAGAAATATCATTTGCCTGTAAGCAAGAACTGGTGGGATCATAAAATAGAGAAAGTCATAGAAAATGATAAAATTAAACTGCTCTGGGACTTCAGAATTCAAACAGACAAGCACCTGCAACATAACACTCCGGACTTAACAATTGTCGATAAGAAAGACAAAAGATAGTGGCAGTACCTGGAGACAGCAGAATAGATGAGAAAGAACTGGAGAAGATAACAAAATACAAAGACCTACAAATAGGAATAGAAAAACTGTGGCAAAAGCAAGCAAGGGTAGTACCAATAGTAATAGGCGCCTTGGGTGCAATCCCAAAACAATTGGAGCACCACTTGAATCCCATTGGCATTGACAAATTCGCTATTAGTCAATTGCAAAAGGCGGCCTTATTAGGAACTGCTTCCATCCTGCGACGATATGTGTAATACCATCAAACATCCACATCTGCCTATCCCAGGTCATTGGTAACAACTCGATAGGTCGACAAAAATGCCAAATCCAGTCTGAACATCTGGCTGACTGTGCGATGATCCATCATCATCATCATCATCATCATCATCATCATCATCATCATCATACTAATAATAATAAAGTTGGAAGGGACCTTGAAGATCATCTAGTCCAACCCCCTGCTCAGGCAGGAAACCCTATACCATTTTGGACAAATGGCTGTCCAGTCTCTTCTTAAAAACTTCCAGTGTTGGAGCATTCACCGCTTCTGGAGGCAGGTTGTTCCACTGGTTAATTGTTCTGACTGTCAGGAAGTTTCTCCTTAGTTCTAGGTTGCTTCTCTCCTTGATTAGTTTCCACCCATTGCTTCTTGTCCTGCCTTTAAGGGCTCTGGAGAATAGCTTGACTCCCTCTTCTTTGTGGCGGCCCCTGAGATATTGGAACACTGCTATCACGTCCCCGCTCGTCCTTCTCTTCATTAAACGAACTTCTATTCCCTTACTGGAGGACCTGACTTTAATACTAAAACCAACCCTACATTTTAATGGCCCTAGATCAAAGACAAGAAACAATAGGTCCCTACTTGCTAGTACACCAGTTTCTAGAGCAGTGTTTCTCAACCTTGACAATTTTAAGGCATGTGGACTTCAACTCCCAGAATTCCACAGCCAGCAACGCTGGCTGTGGAATTCTGGGAGTTGAAGTCCACATGCCTTAAAATTGTCAAGGTTGAGAAACACTGTAATCTAGAGGGACATCTCCTTCTCCTCAAATCTTCTCCTCTTGCTCTATCACCTATGATTCTGTTGCGCTTCCATGTTTTTCTTTATGTCAGAGGTCTTTCTCCATTATATCCAAAAAAGAGAATAAGACTTTTTTCTGCCCAGATTGCAACCAAGTGAAGTCTTTGTATTCTCTGTTGCATGTATGATCAGTTCCCAATCCCTACAACAGGAATTTTCAAAGATGACTAAAGCACCAGATATTACCAGGCAAGTCAGAAAGGTTCAACCAGTTTATGCTATGAATTTTCTTTCCACACGGATGTGTAATTCCCATAATAGTTTATCTTAAGGAAACAACTGACCCCAAACTGCAACTATAAACCACGTAAATTACACATCCGGTAGACTAAGAATGAAAATATTGGATGGCCAAGGCTTCCTTCTATCTCAGACATGAGCAGCAAATGGAGCAAAGAATGGAAGAGAACAATTGTGCGCTTATTTTATTTCAGAACACAAACACAATCATTCTGTGCCAAAAAGGTCGTTATACGATATGCTTACATTCAACAAGACACGATTTTAGGTGAACCTGCCATAGTAGATGTATCATAAAATTGATTTAAGCTGACTTCTTTGGGGCACCAGAAAATGCATTGGCTAGATTCGGATTAATTTATCATGAAAGAGCGGGAGAAGCATCCAAGTATCACACGCCAGAAAATGCAACATAGCATGTCACAGAGATAGACATTGACAGACGAGCTGGATAGACATTCCTGTTCTTTATGTCAATACAGTTTGGGATGTCCTGTTTCTCAAATGAAAGATCACGAACTGGAATCTAGCTTGATTACAGGATAAAAAATGGCACATGTTAATGACCTCGATAAATATTCACACATTGATATAGAAATTATCAACATGATAGCAGCTTCTTGTGCGTCAGGTGCAAATAATCGGGAGCATCTGTTGAGTTCAAAGCACAGAAGGGTTTATTATTGCTACCTATTGTTATGACCCAGATTGTCTAGGCCAGGGGTAGGCAACCTCGGCTCTTTTATGACTCATGGACTTCAACTTCCAGAATTCCTGAGTCAGCATAGCTGACTCAGGAATTCTGGGAGTTGAAGTCCATGAGTCATAAAAGAGCCGAGGTTGCCTACCCCTGGTCTAGGCAGAGGCAGGCTTCCATAGAGTCTTTTATTGCTCTGCTAATTCCACAAGAAATGACCCTACAATGGCAAGGAAAGCTCCACTCCAATCTTCCCTGAAGGCAGCCGCCCACAGTCCCACAAACAAAAGCCAGTAATCACCAAGAATTTGCAAAGGCAAAGAGGATGTCTAAAAACAAGGTGGAAGTTCACAGGGCAAGGTCTGTAAGTTGTCCACAAGGCAAGGTAAGTCGACAAGAAACACGAGTCAAAAACAGAGTTTTTCCAAGGCCAGAGAAAGCAGAAACAATTGTTCCCAACAAAGGTGTCTATCTCTCTTGTTCTGCATAGTTTTGTACATTGTTTTGCAGTATTTGTAGATTCTGGGTGCTGGATATCAAAGCACAAATGGTGAAAAATATCAATGCAAAATAACACTACCTATGATGTTGGTCCATAAATTAGGCTCAAATATACGTTGGAATAGTACAATTTTTAACAAGCATGCAGCATGCCGAAAAGGTGGGGCCGACTTTCCAAGGCACGGGGAAGATCCATCCTCTACTTCTCACCCCATAACTTCTTGAGACGTAGAAATTCTAACAG